ATGTAATCTAATTTAACATTAAAATTAATTAAATTGACTTTTAAAAAATGTAACATAACAAATAAAATTGAATGAAAAAAATATATTTGAATTAGTTTAATTCTCGCGGAGACCATCTTTTTGGGATGGAGGGAGTATTTTCTGCTAGTGCTCTTCTTTTGACTTCTTTTGATACAACACATGTCATGTTTTCAGTGGGAAAGAGAGAAGAAAATGGCACCTTTATATTATAATAAATTATAATTAGAAAAATTGTGTGGTTTGGACGGTTCGACTCTTTAGATTTTTGTGCCTCAAATCGAGAGAACATTATTAGTGAGCCTTTTTCTGAAAGAACATTATTTACATGCGTTATTTATCCCAAATATAGTGAAATAAATATTAAGATTTTTTTTTTTATAGCATTGGCAATTTAATTTTGTTATATTTGGTGTGAGTAGGTTTGGAGATTGGGTCAGCTAATCAGACCAAGATTCCTAATTCAAGAGATGGAAAAGGAAAGGAGTGATAAGAAGGTCCCAATGAGAGAGATATTTTTGTGTATTGAAGAATACGTGGAGTCTTTTTGAGGCTCTATTATTATTACAACTTTCCCGTACTGTCGGCAATGGGGTCTACCTCCACGTTTTAATCAATTTTTTCGATGGATTTTAGTTTATGCATTTAGTAATCGTTCGGCGTGAGATATATGGTTTAATAATTTTAAAATTTAAAATATTAGATTATTTTATCTTGTGTTTGGTTGGAGATATTATGTAGTCTTTAGATTGTTTTCTCACTAATTATATTATAGTGATAGAATAACTTATATGTATTGATGAATGATGATCAAGAGGTTTGATTACATTTCTCGTTGTTAAAAATAAAAGATTACATAATACAAATAAAGTAAAAGTAGATAGATTACATTTTTGAACCTTTTAAGTATATAGTCTTACGTACAACTCAAATGATGTAATTTAATGAGCAAACAACATAATTTCACTAGTTCAGGGTCTAATTAGGTGCTTTCGCTTTATTTTTCAAAATTATCTTTCATGCCACATTTATTTCGCTAGAAATATGTATATGACACATGCAAGTTAAATTGGGTGTAATTTATCTTAAATATAATGTATCAAAGCGTGATGACTTTGGAAGAGCTTGGATGGAGGTTAGTTTGGTCCAAAGCCGCGGTAATCAGCCCAACTATAAAATTCAGCCCAGCAGTATGCGAGTGTGACAATTCAGTCCAATTAGAGCGTCGGCTTGGAAAGAAACAGCGACCCATCATGAACCATGTTGTTTAGAATTAAAATCTAATCTCTAACTCATTAGCAATGTAATTGGCGGACTTTACTTTGTACAGAAAAAAAAAACATTGAATTTGAAATAGATATAATCGAAGGTGAACTGAAAAGATTGATTTTTTTTATTTTTTTTGTGGTGTCACTAAGTCTGGGATCTCTCTGTTTTTCTAGTTTGGTTATTTATTATTTTATTTATTTTTCTAAATTATCATATTATAAAGTTAAATTGATTTATTTATTTCCCCTCATTTTAATATGTTGTACGAAGGTTATGAATTATGATCATGGTTAAGCAATTCTAGTTGTGCTTTGTCTAGATGATTACAAATATTGACTCTACATTGGATTTCCTTCCGGCATGTTATTTTAGTGAAAACATTATAAGGGCGTGCAGACTCTAGCTAGTACTATTTTTAATTGTTTACCTGTCATGTTTTCATTGGGAAAGAAAGAAGAAAAGCAGAAACAAGGATGCTGATGTGGATTAGTACGCATACTAAAATCGATAAAATTAGAGTGAAGATATCCAAGCAAAGGTGGAAATGGTCTTAGTTATGAAGAAGAGGAGGGAAGCAAGATTGAGATGATTTGGACATGTGAAGAGAAGATGCTCGAATAAGTAGGTGCGAGAGATTGGATATAGTGGGTATGAGTAGAGGTTGAGGTAGGTTGAAAAAATATTGAGGAGAGGGCTATTAGATATGACATGACGCAACTCCACCTTAGACAGGAAGGTGTGGAGGTCGCGAATAAGGTTAGTAGGTAATGAAGTGTTCTCTTGCATTCTTATTGTGTCTTGCTTTCGCTACTTCTATCACCATATGTTTTTAATGATATTTCAATTATTACACTAATTTTTGTTGTTGTTAATGGTTCCGTGGTAATTGCTATATTTTATACGCTGTCATTCTCTTTTCATACTTACTTTAGTTTGCTTTACATTATTATAATCCCGTGACAGTGCCAAAGAGGAGTAGAATATAAAGGAATTGAAAAATACATTATATATACGTATTAATTACTATTAAACAACTTCTTTTTATTCATTGATATTAATGAAGGCCAGACCAAAGCTGAAGCACTTTTAAATGAGGAAGCGCCAACCACACTGTATGAGATGTTAATGTGAAAGCAATACAGCTCTTGCTGGCTGCCAGTGGAGATCCTTAATTCAAAATGTTCTTATTTTTCATGACCTTTTGAAGCACTACAACAGGAAGACATAACCTAGATAGTGCTGTGCTAGAGCTGGTTGCCAATCTTAACAAGTCCAACATATTCTCAGCAGGCTGAGGATCAGGACAGAATATTAGCATGCACAGGGTTCTCTGTCCTATAAGATACTCAGAACAAATCATACTTACTCCAAGAATTTATCATATGCTGGCAGGCTGCAAAAACTAAATGCAGTGTTACTTTCTACCTACAACTTTTGGGGTGCTGTGTTTATTCTGCCCCAAAAAGTGTGCTGAAAGGTGAGCAGGAAATGTAGAGACTTACGTATGGGGAAGTACTGAGAATAGAAGGAATATGGCACTAGTATCCCGGGATAAGATCTGTGTACCCAAAATGTATGGAGGACTTAATATCAAGAGTTGCAGGGCATAAAACATTGCTTCAGTGGGTATGTTTTTGTGGTAACTGACAACCAAAAAGGATATGTTGTGGGTTAAATGGATGAATATATCAAAGCTTCTGGAGACATTTGGAATCACACACCACCACAGGATTGTAGTTGGTATTGGAAGAAATTGAATTCTCTTAAAGAATTCTCAACTAGTCGAGGGTCTTTGGGAAACCAACTCTCTATCTCCCCGAGGTAGGGATAAGATCTGCACACACTGGATATGTTGTTGTTATTGTCATAGATGATGCTCAACTGGTACCACAGGGGGAATTATAAACTGACTCCTAAGGGGACCTACTCAGTGAACTGTAGTTTCTTAGCTATGCTGGGAACTATGACTAAAATGAAGAAGGCTGATCTGATGTGGAGTTCAATGATGCTGCCAAGGCAAAGGGTGATAGTTTGGCTTGCCTATCAAAACAAGCTACTCACTAAGGATTAAGGAAAGATTCCAAAGGCTACACGTTCCAGTTGATGATGATTGTTTCTGTTTATGTGATGATCATGTCATAAGAGACGCACTGTCACCTGTTTGCAACTGGATTTCAGAAGTCATAAATGCATTGAATAACTGAGCTGCAAAGGAAAGATACTGAATGCACGAACAAACTCGCCATTGTCTTATCTGGAACATTTGGAACGGATCGACTTCTCCTAATCATCAGAAAGCTCCAAGCCTGACTTCTACAGTTGCACCATTGTCATCTCATTCACCTGATGCCTAAAGGGAAAAAAGCACAATTGAAATAAATTACATGTTTATCTTCTTTCATCAGATATCATACTTATTTTCACTTTATGTCCAATAAGAGCCTGTTTGCATATGTCATATAGTTTAAAAGCAATGAAGCATCAGATAGAAAAGGTTCATTGCCGCACTTGCAGCTGCACATCTATGATTTATTCATACAAAGACTAATGCAATAAACATGCCTAAATACACAGAATTAATTTGCATATGGTTGTTTCTCTGCTTCAGAAGCATCAGGGTGGAATATGCTCCATGCACGGATAAACTCACCAATGTCTTTTAGTTCATCATTCTTGGAGTCAAACATCTATTAAATAGAAGCAAAAAGTCCTTACTGTAAGCAAGAAATAAAAAAATGCACATAATAACTGCTGTAGCATTGTTCTATACACCTGTTAAACAATGCAGTTAAAGTTGACATCAGCTCACCCTATCTGAAAAAATGTCTCTATCTCTGAACAATTCAAGTTGGAACTCTTCCTATCCAAAGCCAAACACTTTGTTAGCTTAGCTCATCTTATTGGGACTCAGGCTTCCATTTCAGCATTAGAATTCTCCCCAATTGCTAGACTCCTAAGTAAGGTCATAGCTTATTCACTGCTTTGAGAGATTTTGATTGCACTGATGCAGGAGAGGATTGGACAGCTTTAAAATACATTGACCTTAAAGCTCAACTTCATAACATCGACAGTGATGTCATACATTTAAACTTCTTGATAAAGATAATACATATAAAGCTAGCTTTTGATTGAAGCGTAGTTGCTATATACTTGGCTTATAATTATTAGAATACTGGTCAATGAAGTGGTTGAGAACCATAGTCTCAGGTTCAAAATCCAACAGAGAAAAAAACACTAGGTGATTTCTTCCATGCATATGTCCTAGTCTTGGTGGACAAAGTTATCTGGTATATGTTGCTAGTGGGAGGTGACATGTATCCCGTGGAATTAGTCGAGGTGCGCGCAAACTGGCCCAACACCACTGTTATAAAAAAAAAAATTACTCCATTAGATAACTTTTTCCCTTAAGACTTGAGAGCAAGAATATTTCCAAAAACACAAAGGTTCCCCAAAAAAATTAGGCATGTTAATGTCATGCAGAAATGATCAAGGTGATTCAATTTAAATTTTCTCAAAAATAGTGTGCCCTTACTTGGGTTTTCAGAAGATTCAGGAAACAATGAAAGAACTCTAGCTTACTGCAAGTTCGAAAATTGTTGCAGCAGACGCCAGAGTTGAAAAATAAAGAGCATCATATACCAAATTAATATCCAAGGAAACCACTTAAGCAAGTATGTACTTTGTACCAACTACCAAGGGACTTAAAGGTGCACAAGATTCACAAAGTGCCAGCAAATTTGAAAGAAAACTAGTACCTAAATAAGCAACAAAGGAGACCACAGGAGGACCTTTCTATTGCTCCGGTATGGCTACTCCTCCCTAAACTTCCATTCCATCTACACACATGGCATTTTGTTAAACAAATTGTCAGTGTGGTTGGAACTCCCCTGGAAATGGATACGGCCACTAGAGGAAGAACAAGGCTGAGCATGGCCAGAGTGCGTGTCAAAATAGAGTTGTTAAAGCAATCTGTCTATGTTGGTTTGACTCATGAAAACTCTCCTCAAACTGGCTATGAGCAAAAATAAGAATTCGAGGGCATTCCAAAGCATTGCAAAAAACTTGACCACTTGATGATCAAATGTAGAGTGATGGAAAGGAAGAAGCAAGCTGAAGAAAAAGAGGAAGAGTTTAAAAATAATAAGGAGCAAATTGCTACTGATAATACTACAAAGCAGGACCATGAGGACATTCATGAAGCTGGTATAGATGACTACAAAGATGATGAGGAAAAGGAGACAGTCAACCAAGGCACAAGAAGTAGTACTATCAATGAGGTTAATAACCAGATGATCTCTGCCACAGAAAATCCCTCCATCAGAGATGGAACAAAAAAAGAAGGCAAAGCTAGAAAAAAAAAATGTCTAAGAAAATATCCAAAGTCATTGTCAAACCACGTTCAGTACAACACACTGTTAAGAGCAAGAAAAGAACTATCCTTTCTGAAAATAATGATGGTACTCAGGACGATGGGAATACTCCTAAAGAAAATAACGACAACAAAGAGCAAGTTGAGCAAAAGAAAAGAGACGTAGAAGTTGTGGAGCACAATGAGAATAATCAGGAGATGGTTCGAAAGGATGACAATGGTGAGATCAATGAAGCCGAAGCTAGCACCTGTGGTAACAGTCTTCAAGAATCTGCCAAGGAACAAGAAAACAAAACTGACGATATTAATGGTACTGATACATTTGTTGATAACACTAACAAGATTCAAAGTTCTGAGAGCTTAACTTCTGTTATCAATGCCATGCCGGGATTGAATTTGGTGGTTGACCTCAACTCCAAATTTGTTTTAAACCAAGACAGAGTCAACAATAACTTGGTAGCTGACTTCGACACTGGAAAGGTTTCAAACCGGGACAAATCCAACAACAAATTAGTGACTGCCCTAAATGCTGAACAAGTTTCAAACCATGACAAAGTTGGCAAGATCATAAAAGAAACAACACCACAAATTGAAACGAGATCAAGCGATGAGCAGATAAAAAATCAAGAGAAGAGAGGGAGGAACAGAAAACATGCTGAAATTCAACTAGAGGTCACATCTCCTAATAGAGTCACTGTTATGGTTCCTGATGAACACATACAAACAGAAATGCATTACAAGGAGGACGTTGACAATCAAGGCTTTTCTCCAGTTATCAAAGGAAAAAACAAAAACAAGAAGTATGACAAGATGAGCAAGGAAAATGGTAACAACCCTGCCAAGGCTAGGGATACAACAAATCAGTCTCAATAACCTTTATGTTTAGTGTCATTTACTGGAACATTAGGGGAGTGAGAACCAAAAATGCTTTACCCAGACATAAGAAGCTGATCAAGTATTACAAAGTGGATTTTGTGGCTCTCTCGGAGCCTTTCCTGATCATGAACAATATTAATGTACATGAGATATCTTGGATATCAACACTGTATTGCTAACTCTAATGGGAAAATATGGCTGTTGTGGACTGGCAATATCAGACTTCTGTAATTGACAACTCAGATCAACAAATTACTATCAAAATGCACCATGCTAACATTAGCAGCGATGTATTTGTTACTGCTGTGTATGCTAAGTGCACATCTGCTGAGAGGAAAGATCTTTGGGCTGATTTAGAAAGAGTTCATCAAGTTGCCACAGGTCCTTGGTGTATCACTGGTGATTTTAATGTCATTCTTGAACCTGATGAGAAATTCGGGGGCAGACCTCACAGGATGACTAATAGCCTGGACTTTAGTTGTTGTATGGATAATTGTGAAGTCACGGACTTGGGTTTTATTGGTCCTAATGATATGGCATGAATAGCAAAAGAGAAGACGTTCTCCAAGTAAAGAATTTGAGACTACACAATAAGAGTCTCCAATTTAAATGGCTTTAGAGACTTAAAGATGGTAGCTAGAGAAGACTTATTGGAAAGAGTGATCAGAAGTAAATATGGTAAAAGGAAATGACTGGTGCACTTACCAGTTAGTCCAACTTATGGATTCACAGTTTAGAAACATAATATCGGAAGCCCATGGGAGGAATCCTTGGACAAAATTTTTAAAAAAATACAGGCAATGGAAAAAGAGAAAATATCTGGTAATAACAAAATATGAACATTACATGGAAAGTACATTCACTAAGATATATGGGCTGGAGATTACAATGAAAGCACTAGAGCAGAGTACCTATGTGGAGGGAACTGGGAATTCCAGTATAAAGGAGAAGCAATGACGGGAAGATTAGTAGAGTGAATCAACTGATAGAACTCCTCAAGCATGTTAATCAGAGCGGTAACCTGCAATTGATGGAAATAGGGATAGTAGTTTTCAGTAAGATCACGCTATAGCTTGCAAAGAGAAATAGTTAGGGAACAACTGCAAGAGGACTTACCGATAAGGAAAACAAAAGCACCATCAAAAGTGGCTTGGATGTGGATGGACTGCAGTACATATTGCATGCTTAAATTCATGATAATTTGCAAAAAAAGAAGTTAGATACATATGGCAGGGTCTATGGATGCATTAGACAGCCAGCAAGGCAGAAAATGAGGAAGGAACAGAGAACAATCAGGAGAACAAGAACTCATAGATGCTTATAAGGAAAGCAAAAGACTTATCTTTGTAAACTATAGATGTCTACAAGATTTTAATCTTAGGATGTTGTTAGTAAGATCAATTATTAAAAAAGTTTCAGTTGTTAATATGATACTTACCAACTACTGTAGTTTACAATTGAAGCATGGATCAAAGCAAATTCATTCAAATTACTAAACTTTGTAACTAACAAAATGGGATGCAAGAATCAAATGTAGAGTTAATATACTACAAGAAAAATGACCTTTAGCGAGGGGACATTTGGTTGTTAAAAGTCCTAATCCGGTCGCTAAAGGTATTTAACGTCTCCCATTGTTAAAAGCTCCGACGTTAAAAGTTAAGCGACGGGTTTCTGTCCAGTCGCTAAATAAACTTTTAACGTCGACATAAAATCCAGTCACTATATGTCCTTCAATAGCGACTGCATTTTCCCTATGCTAATTAAAAAATCCGGTTGTTAAAAATCATTGGGAGCAACTCACATCCAACCAATACATGTATTTTTAACGACCAAAACACCTTTCCTTAATTGTATGTTGTTGAGATTTTTCGTCGCTAATGGTCATTTCAAAATATTTTCGATAAGCCATTCATAAAACAGTCTAAAATACCACATCTAAATTTCTGATTTTATGAATATTGTACGACTAAACTAAAATATTAACAATAATTTCACACATCCAAAAATAAAATAAAAATTAAATTGATATAAATCTTCATCGATAAAAATAATCTAAAGAAAGTTATATATCCCATATCCAAATTGTGTATATCAATACTTTAATCAACTCCTAATTTTAAAAAATAAAATTTGCAACATATATATACATAAGATAAGTCTTTTAAAATCCTTGTGAACTTCAACTTGCTCCTTACTTTCTTGAATGATAAATTCTTCACTTTGAAATTCTTGAGCTGTAAAACAAACAAGTGAATTAGTTTGATAACAAGTAATTGTACTGAAAACAACTGCACAAACTAAAACAAAGTATGGCTCACTAATGAAAACAATTATTGTCTAATTCTGCTAATAGGAAATAATCAATATCCTAATGAAAACAATTATTGTCTAACTGCTAATATGAAATAATCAATATCCAGGGATTATGTGGACATAATAGGTGATACACCAGTGCTCCCAACTACTGAACTGATATGGAATAAGATTGCATTACCAAAGCATAGGTTTATACTATGACTAGTTGTTCGTGGCAGACTGCTAACTAAGGCAAGACTGGTGAGAATGGGCATATCGTGTGATAATAATACTTGTATTTTGTGTGATGGGAACTGGCTACAGGATGTAACACATATCTTCTCTAAATGTCACTGGCTGAAGAGAGTATGTGATGCAATACAAACCTGGATTGAGTTCAGAGTACAGAACAGATGTGTGGATGGTGCATTATTGCAGATTAAAGTGAAGAATTGCAATAGATTCAAGGAGGTTATGGATGCTGTGTACAGAGCTACTATTTACAATATCTGGATGGCCAGGAACAAGAAGTATTCTCAAGAACAAAATGTGAATACCAATCATGTTATGCAGCAAGTTCAAAATGTAATTAGGAAGAGGGTTAGCTATGGTTACTGTTGCTGCACACTACTAGTACTACTGTATGGTGCTATGGAAGTACAAAATTTCAGAACACGAAAAAAGTCAATTAGCATTATCAAGGTTCATTACAGCTATACTAATACAACAATTGAAGAGTGCAAGAGACGAAATACACGAGCAGAAACTATCACAGTTAGCATTAGTTTCTCTGCTCTTTATGAGCCTACCTTCTTCTCACAAAAAGTATGATAATGACAGTTGTTCGTCCACATAAATCTACGTTCTTGTACAAACAACGGAAGACAGTAGGATTCAAATCATGTTATCTATCTAACTTTTCTTGTATACAGTGTATTTACTTACACTAAACCTTTCAGTCCTAAAAGATTACATTGTATTCATTTTTGCAGCAATCTTTCAGCTCTCTTTTTAATTTTTAGAATGAACTTTCATACTCCAAAATCTCTTAAAATACTCTATATTAGTTTCCATTCACAAAAGCTATCGCAAGAGACAGAACAATAGGCACACATTTGCACATTAATCCAACTAGAAGCAGGCCTATTTCATTTCATTAATGTGGAAATACAATCAAGACAGTAGGAGACAAGTTAAGGATAAATGGAAAAGATGAAACTACATGCACAAATAATGAATACTGTTATTTGCAATATACTTATTCACTTGGCAGTTATTTAATATGTGGTATTAGTGCACTTAAACAAGAATTTTTCTTCCTATTTCCTACTACTATTCAAGTGAATAAACAACAACTGGCTTCTAAGATTCAGTTGCAATCCATTCATTACAGAATGAGATGCAAATCACTTTTCGACAATAACAGTCATCATCACACCTCATTTTTTTTTCAATCAAGTATACTAACAAGAGTTCTCACATTAGGACATTCAACATATATATGCTTACTACTAATATGCTCAACTGCACAGACACCAAAATAGAAAAAAGAAACTGATATGAAATCATATAGTACAAGTTCAGATTTGAGAAAAATGAGGCGTTTCACAAACAAATTCATAGTTATAAGAATCCAAACTTACCTTTAAAGAGATGGAAATTCCAAGAATGTGTCCAGATTATTAGTCGCAACAAGGTAAAGATGAACAGTATGAAGAGAAGCTGTCAATTTAACACGACAATATAAGTTATAGCTGTGGTTGTCTTAGAGAATCCACTATGCATCAGATAAGTAAAACAATAACCATCTATTAAGAACTGATGTGGTTGTCTTAAGAGAATCCATTCTTTATTATGAAGATAATCTATTTTTCTTCCTATTTCCTATTGCTTATCAAGTCAATAAACAACAACTTGCTTCCAAGTTTCAGTTGCAGTCTATTCTTTACAGAATGAGATGCAAATCACTTTTCTATAACAACAATCATTATCTCACCTCATTTTATTTTCAATCAAATATACTAACAAGAGTTCTCACATTAGTACATTCAACATATATGCTTACCACTAATATGCTCAATTGCACAGACACAAAAATAGAAAAAAGAAACTGATATGGAATCATACAATACAAGTTCAGATTTGAGAAAAATGAGGCATTTCACAAACAAATTCATAGTTATAAGAATCCAAACTTACCTTTAAAATGATGGAAATTCCAAGAATGTTTCCAGATTATTAGTCGCAGCAAGGTGAAGATAAGCAGTATGAAGAGGCGCTGTCAATTTAACACAACAATATAAGTTATAATTGTGGTTGTCTTTGAGAATCCACTATGCATCAGATAAGGAAAACAATAACCATCTACTAAGAAGTGATTTGGTTGTCTTAGAGAATCCTAAAACCAGTTAATACATGAACCAATTCTAAGCAGAGACAAGCAGATTCAGGGAATAGTTGTTGCAAGGATATACATAGTGACCTATGACTAGATTTTACAGAGACAGGGACTGATAATTAAAGTTCAGGTTAGAGATTAATAACTTTCTTGTTGCCTTCCCTATTTTCATTTAAAAATACTAAACTTATGTACAGAGCAAACAAAATGAAATCGTTATCAATTTTGTTGCCTTCTAAAATGAATAGCCAAAATATGTAATGATGGGTTGATTTATATATATTGTTATTTGGCTTTCAAGTAAAAGCAAACTTCAAAAAGACACAGATAGCTACAGGACAGACTTCTTATGATATATAGCTATTGAACTAGAGAATGATTCCATAATGGATCTTCAGTACATACTATGCAAACATATTCCAAAACTCGAAGTGATTTTGATTCTTCTAAAAGTCAATTTTTAGCTCCTTGGCACCTACATAATCAAGTTATAAGACAAGATGGATTCTATCTCAAGCAAATATCGAGTACATCATTGTCAAAGAGAGGCATATGAATGAAGAGATACGATGACATCATTGCAAAGAAACAATAGCATCAAGAAAATTTCTATCGAAGTATCACGACACACTTATCCATAGAGATTAGACAAGATTCAAACATCAAATAAGACAAAGTTAAAAAGAATGTCCAAGCTCTATCCTTTTTTTCAGATTGATGCTTGCCAACAAACTAGTCAAAATGGTAACTTTGAAGGTGAACTCGGATGCAATGAATCACAATTAGGTTACACGTTAAGTCGAGCAAGAATAAGCTAAATAAATATTTGTTAAGAGCTAGAGAAAGAAGTTAACTCCAGTCTGTACAAACAAATCATATTATAAGTGACACAGTTTTATCCTTTACTTTATCAAAAGAGGAAGTGAGACAACTATGTTTTTCTATGACCTGAACCATAAGAAAAGAAATCGAAAATACATGGATGCAGAAATATTAAAGGATTCAGTTCACACATTAATTAAGGATATGACTAAACTACACTAGTGCATAAAGCAGAAAAACGTTTTCAATTAAAAAGAGAAAAAACAAACCTAAATGGAAACTGAAAAATCAGGGAAACTACAGAATTTGGAAAAATTAATTATTCCACAAAGCAATTCAAAGTAAAAATAGCATAAACTTACCCCAAAGAGAAGAATACTCAATCATCCAGCAGACCCATAAGCCGACTAGAAGTAAGAAGACAAGAACGATTCTCTTTACAGCAAATTAGAATGTGTTCTGCAATCAAAATAGAGATACATGATTTCCTTAAATAGATGGAGCTGAGAAACCCACAACTAATTTTTCTCAACAAACCTAGAAATTGACGCAAGCTTTGGATCTTATCTTCTTGCTAATTTTCCTCCAACAAACTATAGTTCATTATTTTGAACTGAGAGAGACGTACGGCTGATAAAATGTCGGAAGATGGAAATCGAGAATCCCCAAACCTCTAACAGAACTAGAGAGAAGCACCATATCCTCCAAGCTCCTGAATTTTCTCTAACTGTAGAGGCCCCTGATTTCTCTAACAACAAAGCGAACAAACCCAGAAATTTGACAATATTAGTGTTTGTTGTTCCAAACGGAGGGGAGGAGTGCGGTATGTAGAGGGGTGGGGTATGTAGAGAGACGTGTGATATTGTTTTATAAAATAATTAAAGAGGGCCCTTCTTTATTACTTAATTAACAACCGGATACTAACTTTTTTAACATCCAAAAATTATTTGGTCGCTGAGATTAAATTAAAAATTAACTTTTAACAACAAATTTTTTTTTTGTCGTTATAGATATATTATTAACGACCGGATTCATATTCTGTCGCCAAGAATTGGTCGTAAAAAATGAAATATATATCTGCAAACTGAATCTCATAAGCCTCAACCATTTTGAGAAATCACAACTAGAATTGCTTAAATATGATAACATTCATACAACATATTAAAATGAAGGAAAATAAATAGATTAATTTAACTTTATAATGATAATTTGTTAAAAACAATGATAAATAACTAGCTAAAAACACAAAACAAAACAAAGAGATCTCATGAGCTGCCATATGATGGTGAGTAAAACCGCATTATGATCCGAATGATGGGTTAACCCATGTTGGCGGGCAAACAGGACTTAGTGACACCCCAGAATAAAAAGATTCAACCTTTCCATTTTCAAAATTGTAAACCCCCATATCTTTTCCACTACCTGCTTCCAAGGCGAAATAGCTCTCAAACACATCATCTGTAAAATAAATGTGATTAGGTTTCAGCCCTGTAACCATAGCAGTTGCTCCATTACGTCCCAAAAAAATTGTTGAATCTCCCAAAGTATTAATCTCGTTCAATTGATCTTTGATTACATCTATTTCAAATACCTTAAACTTAATGGTTTCATAATCACTAGTATATGTGTTATTCAAAAATCGAATAAGAAATAATAGTGCACCCGATATCTCAACAAAGTAGTACTGAGTATCCGGTTGATGTAATATTGGATCTTTCAGACGAGTAAGCCGGTGCGGCTCTACAATTGGTTCAGGAACGCTACAGCCGGGAACATCAAAAACCCATAACTCGCCACCATAATTAAAAGCATAAAATTTCCCCTTATGGTGAAAGAGACTGTTGAATCTAGCCTTTCTTCTCATGACAATTTTAGTCCAGTTGACGTCTCCCGGTCGCCAAAAGGCGAGATCACCTCTACCATATGTAAGATCGGAAATCACCAAAACATAATCTGATGTAAGAGAAGGATTGGCAGATAAGACAGCTTTGTCAATAATGTAATGAGTTATTTCTGCGTCTTTCTGTAAAGCCTCCTTTAGGGCATTTTGTGGAGGAAGTTGAATTTGGGTACGGGAGAAAGGATGAAACAAGTTAAATTCTCCTGTACATGAGTCTGTGAACATCCAACCTCCCTCTGATGGAAAACATCTTCGCCCTCTAATTTCTGGGAGAAATATGCGTGAAACTTTGTGTTTGGAAAGAGAGTAAAATTCTCGATAATCATCATCTTTATCTGCTAGCATAAGCAATGGAATTTGTTGGGAGGATACATCAAAATTATCTCTCGTAGCAGCAGTTCGCCATGAGATACAAACAGCACCAAAAGCAACAAAATCTTCAATCACTTAAACACGCTCGGCAACTGTACGAATGAGGTCGCATGGCAATTCTGACAAGTTCGACATATAAATAGTTAAAGAAGAGACTACAAAGGGGCTTCTAGGGAAAGAATAACCAGAGGAGGATGGTAATTGGTAAGGGTTTGGAGGGGATCGACAAGTTTAAGGTTCCTTTTTAAACAAAATTACCTAATTAAACATAAGTACTAATCCAATTTATATTGGGAGAACTACACTTGGAATCTATTTATTCAAATTGGACTCAACTCAATATATTTATTTTGCATTGAACCATTATTTCTTCATCTTCAATTCCATCAGAATATATATTACTCTAATGATATTTATATACTCTGATGGTATGTCTAGCAATAATTGAGCACTCTTTTTCACTAAATCAATTCATGTTTTTGAGTAGTCTTTTCACTTGAGTACTGCTTCTTCGATTCTTCCTCTTTGATATCATCACCAATATATTACCCTTATATATAAGCGACTAAGAGAGGGACGAACATGGCATCATATGGTAGTACAAAAAGCATTCTAAAGTGTACTGTGAATGCTTTAATTTTTTGCTCTGTCTGGCCCAATTTTATTAGTTATAGTCATTTTATATCCATGTGTAAGGAACTGAAATATCTCTTTATTCTCTATTACTTTCTCTTCCAAGCCCTGAAATTGGTAAGTCTTTTTTACGCTTTTTTTTTTTTGGCATATGTTTTTCCTCTTCAATGATTTATGTTTATTGTATGTGATGATCATAAATATACCTACTTTTATCATTCAATTTCAAATGAGTATTTGTTTTCAGTTCTTGAGTGCTATTTATTAGATTTTTTTATTTTTGTAGGATTTTGTTCTTGCATGTTCCAAATTTGGTTTGATTTACTCATAGATGATTTACTCTATATTAATTTAAGATTTTTTTTATAGCATTGGCAATTTAGTTTTGTTATATGTGGTGTGAGTAGGTTTGGAGATTGGGTCAGCTAATCAGACCAAGATTCCTAATTCAAGAAATGGAAAAGGGAAAGGAGTGATAAGAAGTAAGATTAAAACGTGGAGTTAGATCCCATTGAGGCTCTATTATTAATAAATTCTTAAGGCCCGTGATACGGGCCCAATATAATCAATTGTTAATCGTTATTTGACAAATATTAAAAGGTATTTCTATAGCATTCTGATCAACATTAATTAATATTGATCCTGGTAAAAAATTTAGTATTAAAAAATATCAAAAAATAACCATCAAAGAATATAGTGCATTGAATGGTGTTTCTCCTTCCTTAATTAAATATCTTAATTTTGAGTTTTGGATATGAAAAAAATTCTTAATAGAGAGCTCTATATCCGAATGGGCAACTCCAATATAAATATCGAATACTGAATAAAAAATATTAAATTAAATTAACCCAATAATATTTTAAAGTATAATTGATATTAGTGATGGGTAGATTCATTTTTTAAGTTGTAAAACTCTGAAGTATAATATTCAATTTATTTATTTATTACTATAAGACACAAATTTAGTAGGACTCAGAGTTAATTTGTCTGTTAGATTGGATTATATCTTATATAAAAATCATGAATCATTATATATTATCATCTTGAAATCTATCCTATTCATTTCAATTAATCTGTCGAATTTTTCTTTATAATCTATTAAAAAGTAATGTCCCTTTTCTTTTCTTAGTTCCAACTCCACATAACATATTTAAGATCACAAGATTAAAAGACATTTACTATATTTCGCATATTTAAAATTTAAAATCACAAGATTCAAAAATCTTCCTTAATTTCTTAAACTTAATGCCAAGTCAATATAGAGCAAACACATTAAAACAGAGAGATTAATATTTTATATTTATCACTCATACATAAAAATAAGAACTAAGAAGCATGTTTCACTATTACATGAAGTTCTATATATGCATAATTTGTCTTAATGAACATAATTTTTTTAGCATGATATAAATGTGTTTTTGGTTCTCTTTTTTCATGCACAATAACTTATAGGAACAAGTATTTTTGTTATTTTTATCAGTTTAGTGAAAAAATTTCAAACAATCTGAAAACATAAATGCATTTTCTTTGTTTTAAAAAAATCTATTTAGAATTAAATGCTAAATTAGCATGATATTTTAATACATAGATCATTACATATCGTATTGATTTCCTCATCCAGATATTTTATCTTATTCCAAAATTTATTCATAATTTTTAAAATTACTATTAATCATTTGCTAGTTTTGTCATCTCTTTATAAATATTAATCTACTTAAATTTATTTTACTTCTCTAATTAATGTATTGATTTTTCATGTGTTCCGATTCTTAACTTCTTATTTCAAACAAAAGAATAGCAATATTAAGTAAATAAAGTAAACAATCTGATTAATCTTAAAATTTAAAATATTCTATTATCAAAATATTCTTATCATTAATGTACGTAAATTGAACATGAAAAATACTTATTATTTCTCTTTAATATTTGATTCGCAAAATTTTAAAACTATTTATTTAAAAATTTAGTTAGTTTCTTAGTTTACTTTAATTTCATTTTATTTATCTATCCATTTTATTTATTAATTTTTATTTTTATGCTCCTTAATTAAAATATTTTTATTTTTTAATACATTTAAAATCATGTTTGTTTCTTTTTATATTTATTTTAGTGCAAAAAGTAAAGGTGTTAATGAAATATAAATTGATTTAATAAATGGGTCCCACCATTTTTAGATAGTACGACTACTTATGATATTTTTTATGCTTTTCATGATAGAAAGTACACGTGGCCATCATAATAATAGCAACTTGGTTGGGTATTTGGGAAATTCAATAATTTTGCAGTAGAAAGTACAATTGTTTTAAGCTGATAATTTTGGTAAAATGACAAAAGTGCCCCTGGTCGTCCTGGTCGTCTTCACTCTTCTATATAATAAATAACTACAACTTTCCCGTACTGTTGGCTATGGGGTCTAACTCCACATTTTAATCAATTTTTTTGATGGATTTTAGTTTATGCATTTAGTAATCGTTTGATGTGAGATATAAGGTTTAATAATAATTTTAAAATAAGATATAAGATTATTTTATCTTGTGTTTAATTGGAGATATTATGTAGTCTTTAGATTGTTTATCTCACTATTTTTATTATAGAGTATTGAAAACACTCTTAAACTTGGTCTGAATTATTAATTTCATCTTTAAATTATTAGTAGCTTTAAAAGCACCTTTTAATTTGACTAACTATTACTAAAGATAACTAATCTTGGAATAACTTGTTCCCAAACAAACTATTTATATAAAAAAGAAAGGTTCAATTATATTCTCTTCGTTAAGAGGTTACATAATACAAATAAAGTAAAAGTAGATAGTTTTACATCATTTGAGTTATAGTAGTTAAAAATATACGCGCTCCCTTTCAATTGTTTTATAGAAGGAGAGTGGCGGTTAATTTCACATAAGATCATCGAATTCATACTAGTTTGTAGAAAAGTCATTAAACTAATTTTCCTAATCATAAAATTACTTAACTTTTACTAGTCATATAAAAGTAATTTTGATAAATTTGCAGAAAGTTAATGGAGTTTGGTTCTATATGTAAAAGTTACGTTGTCTTGGAAATAAAACAAAAATATTCCCAAAAAGACCACTTAGAGGATAATATGCAAATAATAAATTGTTACATAAAATACCTATATTTTAAGTAAATTTGCTAGAAGGTACTAGATGCCTAGAATATTTAGGACCTTCTATGCAATTATATAATCTTCTATAGGAAATTTTCATATTTCTCTAGAATCATTTAGGAAATTCTATGTAAATTCTATAATCATCCGTAAAAAATCTATATATTTCTCGAGAATCATCCACAACCTCCACATGGGCCACTGTGGAATGTGACATTTATTGTTGAAGTCATTATAACTTCTTGATACTAGAGCTTTTCAGCATATTTGATATTAAAAAAGTATTTGACATTTTAGATTTCATCAAAAAGCAAGTATTCTTTGATTTGATGAGTTATTTGATTTCTGTATATGAACAATGATGAGTTATTTGATTCCTATATCTATGAATTCTTTGAAGGCGCTCATTGAGTTACTTAACTAGGAGTATAGTCTGATTGAAAAACCAAATAAGTTTTTCAAAATTTTCAAACTTCTCAAAATATTATCTAACTCAACTCTAAAATTTATCATCTACTCTAAAATCTCTTATGTTTGGAATGTCTGGAATGTCTTATGGGGAAATAATTTAGTTCAGTTAAAGTCTTTTAGAACATTACAGAATCAGCCATGGTGATATTTTCCATAACAACAAAAATCAGTTTTGTAACAACTGTGCTAATCATTTCAAGATTCGAAGAATAACTGGCGGCACATCGCTGATTCTTCAATCATCACTATTGACAAAGTATATTCCATTTCCGATCATCTTCGTAACTAAATTTATTATGAACAATCATAGTGCAGATTAAGTTCTAAAATTTTGTGTAGTATATTTGTTAGTTCTCAAGGGAAAATGGTGGCACACGCTTTCTTTGATTTGATTCTGTATAGTATCTCAATGATCTTCGTATTGAATTTCTATACTTGTATAGCATTTCGATGATATTCGTACGGGTAAAAAATTAAGTATTCTCCTAATAGTAATTTAATTTTTTATGCAAAAATAGAGATTAAATCTGTAATTGGATTTCTTTGTAGTGAATTTGTAGATTTCAATATTATACTAATGGTTGAATTCATGTGTTGAGCGTTTATCAGCTACATATATTCAAAGAATATTCTATGTCTCAGAGAGAATGGGAATCACCAAATAGCTTAGTGATTCACACTAAATTCCATTTGGGAAAACTTCAATTATGAGGCATCTGTAGATCCAATAGGATTTTTAGGTTATCCTGTAGTTTTAACAATTCACAGAATTCCATTTGGGAAGACTTCAATTTTGAGGCATATGTAGATCCAGTATGATTTTTAGGTTGTCCTGCAGTTTTTAAGACATCTCCAACCAAACATCAAATTTTACATCATTTTGGTGTGTGAATAGTGTTACACCAAATTTGGTGTAACATTATTCATCAC